GTCCGCATTGCTTAGAAATTCGAACCGGTTTTAGTAAAATAAAGACAAAAACGTTCCAGACTTTATTTTGCGAAATGTTTTCGAAAAATAATGAGGGCTGTTGTTTAATATCCAAGTTGTTTAACTTAATTTTTTCTTACTACAATAACTCTTATATAAATATATTTTTAAAATTAAATTGATATAATCCATACCTACTTTAGATATATAAAATAAATGTGAAAGTGTGTTTGTTTGTCCTTCTTTCACGTCGATACAGAGTGACGGATTGGCGTAATTTTTTGTGTGGAGATAGAGGACTGGAGAGAGACAGTTTACTTTTTACCGCCGGAGATTATCACACCACGGGGAAGCACACAGCAACTCATCATACATATATATAATATCTATTTATTCCGTTAAAGCCTACTTAGGGACGGACCTGAGCGAAGTGAGTTTGAGTCGCTAGTAGTAATATAGTGATAAGTTCTAAAAGATTTTCGTTTTACTATTCAGTATGATTGTTTTGAAATGTTAACATGTAGGCATTAGTAACATTACATTAAAAGCGACGGTAATTGTTATTCTATGAGAAATAAGTTAAAATATTATTATGTACTAGCATTGCCGGCGGCTCCGCCTGCGTTCAGATGCCCAAGAACTAAATTCTTAGGTTTTACATATTAGTATACTCTTACATTGCAGTTTTTGTATTTTTTTTCTCAGAAATGAGATATTTTACCGCGGTAAAAAGTACCCTATATTTTGACCCGGAAAACCAGCTATCACTATACCAAATATCATCAAAATCCCTTCAGGGTTTTTCTGTGTGCGGTAACAGACAGACAGACCGACAAAAATTCTAAAAACTATAGATTCGGCCTCTGTATCGATAATAATGTTTATTTCAATAAGATTTTCCAAAAAATATCTAATGTACAGATTCGGCTTAGTTACAATTTTATTATATGTATAGATAACTACCAAGTATATTGTCAAATGTTTCAAAAGAAACCGTAAAGAATGTCTACCTTGAATCTAACTTTCCATTAATACCTATGTGCAATCAACTACAGTCATTACTGAATAGGTGCATTGGTTTAAAATAGCTTGCATTCTAGACAGCTTAGTAGATTGTATGTACGGCTTAAGGTTCACAATAATGTATGAGGGTATTAAGTGTTCCAACCCTACGTGAGTGGCTGGATTGAATGGAACCTAACGCGCGCAGAATTTCTAGTGTCGGTGCTAACAAGGCCCTCGTTGGTGAAATAGAGAATTGTGTCGGGTTATGCGTGGAATTCAAAGCAGGATAACGTATACATTTCCAGCGTGAAGAGCGGCATTAAAACAAAAATATTGCGCGTCTCATTAGACTCGACCAACGCTTGCTACAGACGAAGTTATACCTAGATGTTTTAGACATTATTATGTTACTAGCATTACTCGCGGCTCCGCCCGCGTTTAGATGACCAAAAACCAAATTCTTAGGTTTTACATGTAAGTATACTTTTACTTGCAGTTTTTGTATTTTTTCTCAGAAATGAGATATTTTCCCGCGGTAACAATCCTATATGTTGACCCGGATAACCAGCTATCACCATACCAAATTTCATCAAAATCCCTCCAGTGGTTTTTCCGCGATGCGGTAACAGACAGACAGACAGAAAGACAAAAAAATTCAAAATTATTGATTCTGTCTCTGTATCAATATCTGTATCAATGTATATTGCAATAAGATTTTCAAAAAATATTTAATGTACAGATTCGACTGAGTTAGAATTTTATTATATGTATAGATTTCTAACGAAAATATATTTTGCACTAATACAATTACATTTAGAGATCAAATATGCAATTAAGATACTGTTGAGATCAACAAATAGTGTCAAGGAGAACTTAATTAGTATCTGCACACGTCTTCAGTGTACACTAGGTGACTACACATAAATAAGTAGCATTAACGCAGAGTAAACACATTAGCAAATCTGTATGAAGCTAAAAGAACAATTGTAATAAATTCAATGTTATAATAATAATATCAATCTTAATTTTCTTTGAATATAGCAAAGCTAGAAGCTTTTACTACGGAGGTCGGCCACACGCAAACATCTTATTGATAGATGACGGTAATACCGCCGTGGGGACCGTAATGAATGCCTTAGGGGCAAAACCTCTTATTCCAATCATATTAAACCTTTTTTTCCAATTGTATTATTATAAACCTTCCATTTACTCATATTATATACTGGCGACGTTTTTATTTTTGTGAGCGGAACCCTAATTCTTTTTCTAAAATAAAAGTAGCCTATGTTACCCCCTATAACATCAGATATCTTCCAGTGAAAGTCCCGTCAAAATCAGTCCAGCCGTTTCAGAGATTATCAAAACAGACAAACATTAAAAAAATGTATTTTTCTTATATGTACCGTATAGAATTTCATATGCATTTAGTAAAACGCTGTTATTTTGACATTACAAATAGACACTTCAATTTTATTTATCTGTAAAGACTATAGGCACGCTCGTTAAACTTATTTTTACCTGAGTTTCATTTACTAGTGTTCTTAGAAGCCTCTTTTTAAGTACTGTTTTTCGACGCACTCAATGAAAACTCAATCACAGAGCTAAAAAAGCGATTTGTGACTAAAAACTTTAACGTTGTAAAAACCCTGCTGCTTGTATGACCAGCTTCTTTTTCGTTTCTGGATCATTAATCACAAATAATTGAATAATTTCAAAAAATAATGAGTGTTTTCGAGTCAGAATTCATATTTAAACTTCGGAAACTTTAAATTACTTTAATATTTTAAAATTAACAAGTATACCTACATGTGTGTATATATAATAATTATTTAGTCTATAAGTACTGTCAGATAATGATATTTAATCATATCGTCACACATGACGGCATGAGAATATATTGGCTTACAAGTCGTGTGGTTACGTTTCCAGTTATATAGGCCAAACAGAAACTGATATTCTAGTTTTGTAGTAAGATATTTTAATGATGGCGTCTCGATAAAGAAATTGCAAAAATCTTGAACAAATTTCAAATATTCATATAGCCAGTGCCGGATTCAATCTTAGCGCCTGGCGGCATTACTTATTATTTTTTTTATCGAAATTTTGCATAAAATGGATAGTTTCGATAAAGTCCTTTTTTTTTAATTTTTGATAAATGCAAAAATAGTTAATTTTTCTATTATTAATTTTTTGGAACATAAAAAAAACATTTTCGATAACCCGAAGTTTTTTTTATTTATCCTTCGAAATCCTTATCCCTACATATGGAACCCAACCTTGAACCTACCTAAGCTTTTTACTGTGTTAACAATTCTGTATCTATTCAAAAGGATACGATAATTATCTCAGGGATTCCAACAAAAGAAAAAGTTATAACTGGCGCTAATTGACATATCATTTCTTATAGAGACGGACAAATAATGAAACTTTTATAATTAAACTATCCAGTTTTTGCTGTACATTTTTACGCATGACATGATGCAGTTAGGCCAGTTACTCGACCCAAAAAAATATCTTACTTGTAATGCAACGGTATGCGGTGCACCGCTGTTACGAGCATTATCTGCTCGGAAAGTTACCGCCAATCACATAATAATGGTCAGACACTTGCGGTTTGCATAGTGACAATATTCGAAATTGTTTTGACGTAATAGACTTTAATTTTTATGCGCTAAGTGAAAGGAAATTTAATTTATTGTTAATCCCTCTACGACTGCGGGCACGCCGGCGTTACAGTTAACAATAGATTTATTAGAAATTTAATTAATCTTAGAAATTCACCTGGAGGTGTTAACAACTAGCGACTTTATCCTCGTTTCGCTCGGGTGTATCCCTAGGTAATTAACTATAGCCTGTGTTACTCCATGTCATATATGTATACCAAATTTCATCCAAATCCGTCCAGCCGTGTAACAAACATATAAACTTTCGTATTTATAATGAGTGTGATAGAATTTTTCTTAATTGAATAAGCAATATTTGTAAGTCAATTTTACGATTATTAACATCAACCAAAGGAAGTTCACAAAACGCATAATAATTGATTAAGCAAATGCTCTTTTTTATGTATTTATATTACTTTAATCAAATTATAAATTGAACCCAATCTCATAGTATCCGAAGCGAAGCGTTTGAGTCTTGGGGTTATATTATAAAACTAGAATACTAAAAAGCAAATTCTTACGTTTTACATATTAATATACTCCCACAACGTGTGTGTTGCAGTTTTTTCTCAGAAATGAGATATTTTCCCGCGGTAAAAAGTATCCTATATGTTGACCCGGATAACCAGCCCATAACCATACAAAATTTCCACAAAATTCATCCATCCAGTGGTTTTTCTGTGATGTGGTAACAGACAGACAAAAATTCTAAAAACTATAGATTCGGCCTCTATGTCGCTAATTATGTCTATAACAATAAGATTTTCCAAAAAATATTTAATGTACAGATTTGGCTAAGTTATAATTTTATTATATGTACCTATAGATAAACGACACTACAGTTTTGATGTAAACACGATGCAACTCGATATGTGGGCGTATTTCGCAATCATATCGCCATAGAGAACTCTTAGAGCTCTTACATGATTAATGTCTGCGGAAAACGGTAAAATTAGGCTACAGAATATTACGTTTCTTTTGTTCTATGAAAGATTTTCATATTTTACATTCTCACGGAATGGATTCATTATAAAACTATGCAAAACTGTACATTCATTAGATAAAATAGTTCACCTTTTTTTTATAGTTGGGAAATCCTATTACGGATACCACCCGACTTCCCCCGGGGTGGTTATGTGGAGACTCTCCGGCTAATGAGACCGGCATACCCACTACTCTCTGGATCTACTGAACCGATTTAGATGAAATAATCCCTTAAGAGGGTGAAAATGGGGATGAACGTTTATATAGGGAATCACGAACCCGAGCGAAGCGAGGGTGAGTCGCTAGTATATTATATGAAGAATCCGCCTGAAAAGTAAAATAAAATCAATCGCGGTTTTCACCCTCTTTGACCTTCAAACGAACCTACACATTGAAGTAATACCTTATATGTATTTTGTATCGACGCTTATTGAATTGCGTTTCGGATTATCCATTCTGTAGACAGCTTATACATCCTCTTGTAACATCATACAAGTTTCATGATTTAAAACCTTATGTAACAAAATAGAGAATATATATATATATATATATATATATATATATATATATATATGTGTGTGTGTGTATAAAAATATATATGCACATTACAAACTGACCTGAGTACTGGTGAAGCGTCTACTCCCAGACCGACTCAAAGTCCCTCCTCTCACATTACTATCAGACAGTTCCACTTCAACTCCACCGTCCGCGGCGCGGCGGCGCGACAGCTCGCATAACTCCGCTATTGGTTGCACCTGGCGATGTTTACAGGTATCAAAATATTTTTTTAAACTACTTTGGTTTCTGCTACAGGACTCCTTCACGAAATTTTTAAGTTTGATCAATCTTTTTAACATAATGTGTATGTATTTTTTTATTAAATTGCTTATTTTTCGGTTTAATTAATTATATATGTTAGGGAAATTAAGATACTAACCTTAAGAGTAACAGAATCTTGACTACTTTTAATCAGATCAATCACTTCTTCTCTACTTTTTCCTTCAACATTGACACCATTAACTTCAATAAGTCTGTCTCCGGGTAGCAATCCAGTTTCACTTGCTCCAGGATAAGAACCGGGCTCAGCTAGTATCACGGCCTTGTGAGTTAACTTGCTAATAATAACATTAGTACCGCTGTATTTATTATCACCATTTGGTATTCCATTTTCTTCATATCCCGACAAATCCTTCATATCACCAATGAATACTCTTTCTTGAATCATTGCTCTGCGGAGACTAAATCCAAAGTCATTTCTAGGCGCTTTTTGACGCTGAATAGTTAGCACCCTTGGTTTTGGCAATTGGAGTGGACTTATGGAGGGTAAAGGTAAATAAACATCATCAAATGTACTTGTCCTAGACCATCTATGGAAGCCTTGAGATTCACCAACAGGTGATGTAGAAAATGGAGGTGTAGCAAATGAAGAATTTGTTGTAGTATCAGTGAGAGAATCTGCACTGGGCGATGTTGAAGTTACACCGAGGTAGCTATTACCGTTCGTTTTAGGAGTATCATCAATGTCTTGTGTTTTAATGGACGAATTTGTGTTGTTTTTATAATTTTTGTACTGATTTTCCACAGGACTATGAATTACTTTTTTAGTGAAGTTTTGTACGTGTTGCATATCATCACTCGACGAAGTACTCTTTGAAGGCGGGATACCATAAGATATAACTTCATTTTGCTGTGTATTACGAGCCAAAACGTTTGGATCTTGGCCATTTACGTAGTCGATCGTATCAGCACTTTGGATATTGCTTTCTTGCGAATTAGAACTAGTATTGCTGAGACGAGTACCTTTTAGAATTCCACGTTTTGGTGGTCGCGGTGGTATGGGAGGTAGATTTGGTGCTTGCCGAGGGCTACTATTTATATTATTTGGATTGTTCAGAGAGTTCAAAGATGTTTCCGAACTATCAGATTGTAAAACACCTTCTTTTTTATTCCAGTTATGAGTTGGATAACCTGGTGATAAATGGTTGTTTTCATCGCTAAGATTGGAATTAGATCCGGAGGTAGAAATAAGCGGGTAGTTGGAATAATTGGAATCTTGTTCCAGATGAGCGAAAAGAGAAGCTGTATAATCAGCAGTGATGCCGGATGGCAGCTTTTCTTTTTCTTTGCGTCTTCCTCGTAATTTTAAAGATCTCCGCACCTGTAAAAGAACAGAGGAAATTAGATTTCTTATCAACCTTAAATCATATATACTGCAAATAGCAATATATATTTAGATAATAGATATATTCGATGAAAAATGCTAGTATAATCAGTCATATTTTTCTACGCTTCCCACTCTCGGTTTCATATATTTTGTTGAGGTAGATAACAGTATAAGGAACGGTGATGAAACTCGGCAAGCTCCTTTCGTTGCAAAAAGTCGCATACCGAACGATGCTCAAGCTAGCAGCGAATCTGTCCCTAATGAAAGTGTAGTCATGAAATAATTTCAAACCGGTTTCTGATTTTATACTTTTGGCATTGTAATTGTGCAGTTCCTGGTTATTTATGAATACAGTTTGCGATTAAAATGAATTCATTTTGGCATACACAAAGACTTGATTAAAATATCAAAAATTCTATAAAAATGTTATTAATTTACAACATTTATCGTCTTGAACACAAAACAAAAATAAGAATTGCCTTAAATATGTTAATATCCTTTACCAAAGCACTTAAAGCATAACCAATCACTTTGAAACCTTTTGGCTCTACTTTCGATACTGGTTCCATCACTTTCTACCACAATACAACATAAACTAGCCACGTACATCTTACAGCAACCCGCACTAGTAACTAACCTCCATTGAGAACTGAATAGGATCAAACAAACTGATTTAACCCCGTTCTTGATTTGTTTACACAAGCGCAAATGGACAAACAATGTCATAAATAAACAAAATATGTGTTTTTCAACCGACTTCAAAAAGGAGGAGGTTCTCAATTCGACTGTATTTTATTTATTTTGTTTGTTACTTCAGAACTTCGTCATTTATTAACCGATTTGGACAATTATTGTGTTGTTTGAAAGTGTATACTTCCAGATTGGTCCCATTCAAATTTAAAAAAACATACCACCCCTAAGGGTGGAAAAATAGCTAATGATGAATTTAACCTACTTCTAATTGTCATATTGACTTGAAACTTTGCAAGTGTTTCTATTTCCGTTGATAGTACAGTGGTTCGGTATTGTTGGCCTGATCTGATGATAAGGCCAGAAGGTGGATAGGTGGAACTCTTCAACGGCTAATAGTAGATACAAATTTGGACTTATTTTGTTTGATTTGACAAGCCTAACACGTTAGACTTCTTACTTTGCTACTACTACTGTCTACACTAAAAAGGGAAAAATAAAAACTTTTTAACAAAAAAATAAAAACCAACTTCAAACAAAAGCACTAAAAAGTAAAAAATAACTGATTGGTAGTTTTCATTTACTATACATACCTAATCAAATATTTTCGAAGTCGGTGTGCTTTGGCTAAGTAATTAAAGCCTACCTATTAAATACATAACTAATCAAATATTTTCGAAATCGGTGCCAGCCCATATAAAGCAAATAAAACAAATAAAGCAATAAAACAGGTACACTTCCTATTTCTAGATCTCCTATATACCGATGTGACAGCAAGCCGACCAAATTGGGATCAAGGGGCAGGAAAGACAAATACTTTAACTATTTATTTCCTGACAGAAAAAGGAACCTAAAAAGTCTTGTCGGACCAGAAACCAGAGTCTCAAGAAAATATGGCAGCATATAAACGTATTGTTGCGTCAAACTATTATAGGGCTCATACGTCCTTCATTCTATCCTTTTCACCCAGTCTCGACCCAAATGTCGAAGTGCTCGCCTCATATCCGGTGAAACTGTACACTGTTTCAATGAGTTAGAATAATTAAAAGACCGGAAGTGACAATCCTACATCAAAAATAAACATGCTTTTGCACAATGCAGCGCATGTTGAAGCATCAAAATATTATATTATAAAATAGTTAAAGGTATTCATCGTTTATTTATGTACATATATCTGGTTTCTAATGATTTCAGTTATTGAAATTAAGTAAACTTCATCATACGATCATATCTTGGTCATCGCTTATCGATTGCCAATCCAGATATGAAGTCAAGTAGATATACGATAATAGTATCATATAAATATACTATTAAAAAAGCTCATATCACTTTTTGCTAGCCGAAATGTAATCCGGTATCGGAGATGACCTCGTCAACCTTTACTTGTAACTTTCATAAAACCAAAGCGTTTTTAGTATTTTCAATATTAAGAAATGAAATTTCTTATCATAAAGGCATGATGATTTATAAAAAAAATTTAAACATTACCTAATGAATAAGGCAAAGTCAAGCCTTTGCTAGATTTAACTTTAACTGTACACGGTTACTCCGTTAAAATTGAATAGATTTACATATTATAAAGGTATTGTGGTTAATACAAAATGTTTTCTATCTGGTAAGCAGATGGATGAAGTAATTTCGTCCACCTTACTTCGGATTTACTACTATTATTAACTTTCATGAAATAAAAAAGTATAAGTAATCTATACATATAATAAAATTCTAACTAAGCCGAATCTGTACATTAGATATTTTTTGGAAAACCTTATTGAAATAAACATTATTATCGATACAGAGGCCGAATCTAGTTTTTAGAATCTTTGTCTGTCTGTCTGTCTGCCTGTCTGTTACCGCATCACAGAAAAACTACTGAAGGGATTTCGATGAAATTTGGTATGGTGATAGCTGGTTATCCGGGTTAACATATAGGATACTTTTTACCGCGGGAAATTATCTCATTTTTGACAAAAAATGGAAACACTGCAATGTAAGAGTATGTAAGACCTAAGAATTTGGTTCTTGGTCATCTGTACGCGGGCGGAGCCTCGGCCAATGCTAGTATAAAATAAGGCCAAATAGAAATCCATCATTATCCTTATAAGGGTAAATTTGATCACATCGTTGAAATATTCGCGCGTGGCTCGAAGACACACACCGCACTAAGCGCAAGGCGCGTGATGCTGCGTCTTATAGGTTGATACAATTCAGTTATCATGGCCACATAACCTAGCTGGTTGTGGCAATATACCCTAGATTGTATATTATTTAATTGTTTAGTGTACATCTTAGATTATCGCCAATTTAAAGTAAAAGCTACTGATAACTTAACAATATAACTGAAATATAAAGGTATCGATAACAAATTACTACTATTCACTATTTTCACTAAACTCTCATTTCAAAGCCATCGTTAAGCAATTGTAGCTCAGTCGAATCTTCGCTTGTAATCTATAACGCTGGAGCCTGGAGGATATTTTATGTAGGTTTGATCTTATATGGAACAAAATATGTTTGTACTGATGACTTGAGTATACAGATATTAGCGTACAATGTTCTGAAACCAGCGGAAACGAGACAATGGAAGATTTACCCTACAAGGGATTACAATGTAAAGCTAAAAGAAAAAAATACTTTTTTTCAGAAATATTTTGAAAGAGAAATAAGTGGAACACGCATGGAAATAACGCTGCTTGTCTCCTAAAGCCAATTTTCATGTAAACTATAAAACCTAGTTCTATTGTATATGATATTTATGTATGTAAATTGTACCTACGGAAACATTTGAATGCCAAGTGATGATATTTGTTGTATGAGCTGGCCTATTGCATCAACCTATGAAGAGTGCTCTTAAATTATCTTCGTGTATTATTTTGTTTACATTCATATACCTACAGTATATGAACTATATGAGCTACACTTGAAAGAAGGTCCTTTGGGACATAGAATAATGTCGATTGATATTGAAGATGATAATATAGATATAGAGAGATATAGACTTTTAGATTTCAAAAACAAAATCGAACAAGTGCGAGTCTGCCTCGTGCAATAAGGATTCTAACAACTGGCAAACAATGTTTAAGCTTTTAGAAGCACCTAACTCCGCAACTAGTGACTCAAAAAATTACTAAGAAATATCAACATAAATTTTTTAACCTATATACAGATACCGCACACGCTTATGAACTACGTCGTACACTCTAATTTTTGCACCCTAACTTACGTGGTTGGAGTGCCACCCCTTTTTTTAAACTTAACGTCAACGACTTCAACGTTGCAAAGCATTTTCATACAAGATGTATGCACATTGTACGTGCTACAATATAATATTATATTTTTGTATGAACAACCCTATAGTATAGCAGTCTACATATTAAATATTGATATTGTAAAGAGACATATTAAATATGATATTAAGGTGGAATGATGATTAAGCTCAACAATATCTGAAGCTGCAGTGACACAGACTTATGTAGATAAGGAGAGCGATTATACGACGCTTACAACATGTTTGACGAGTAAAGATAAACGCCTGTGTATTCAACTATCCAGTATCTATGGATTTCAATTGAAGTATGACAGTATATTGCATCAATGCATGCGTGTTGCAGCCAGCTAGAACACATAAACTTTATTCATCTTATCATAGTGAAATTTATGTTAAAGCTTACATGTCGAGACCTTGAATACAAATTCTCGGATCATATCTACATACATATATTGATTTTCTATTATAATACTTTGAACCATTGCAGTAATTATTAAATATTAAAAATTTCCTTTAAAGTAACTAATTATTATCCAAGTGCAGGGTTTTCAAAAACTGTGAAAATATGTGTAATATGGAAATATGTGTAAACGAATGCACACATGTCAAGATCTTAAAAATACACTCATTCGTCACATCAAATATCGATTTTCTAGTATAGTACCTTGAACTACTTGAAAAATTATTAAATAATACGAATGTCCAGTTATAGATTAACCGTAAAAAAACGTAGAACACCTTGAAAAATTATTAGAAAACTTGTTTGTCCATAATCACTTAGCTTAAATAACTGTAAATTGGCAAAATCGTCGACACCTGTTACTTTGGCGCGCGATAAACTAAAAACATTAATTTAGTTCAATATAGATTTAATATTTTATTTCAAAGTGAGATTTAATTCTTTCTAATTTATTGACACGGCTCTTGTATAACGCGTTTAGAATTAGTTGGTATTAGAAACATTTATTACTCTAATAGATTTGTGCGAATTCTTTCGAGCGATCAAATAAAGTAGGCGTTTTGTAAGGTTTCCGGATGGTTAATCCCTACGCAATACAGCGCGTAGTAAGAAAGGGCTTCATTGGCGACAAAGTCAATGGCGTGTTAGCCATAGGTATATTGTTTATGTATTTGATAAAATATAATATGTTGTGTTAAAAACAGTAATTTATTTAAATTGAAAAAAATATATAAATACCTCTTCAAGCCTTAACGGTTCCTCAAGTCCTGCAGCTATTCGTTCCCTTTTCTCTCTTTCCTTTCTCTCCTTTTTCTCTTTTTTTCGTCTCTCCTTTTCCGCAGCCCCTTCCTCATATCCACCGGAGTCACCCATCAGGACATTTGATTTTTTCATGAAATTAAACATATTGGTTTCAAACTGAAACAAAAAATATATATTAATAACTAATAAATATTATATATTATAGGTAGGTACATTAAAAAAATAGCATGGTAGACTTTTCAAAATAAATCTTGTCAAATCGTAGATGTGCAATAAAACGGGACAAGCACGTTGAAGGCCAAATAGTATTAAACCTGTCTCGAAAAGTTCAAGGTGATCGTGTATTTAGAACATGATGAATAATTTTGTTTGCATAAGGTGCAGCATAAAAGTAAATATGACGTATGCAAGTATATCTATTTTAAATAAACAAGCATTGCAATTATTAGATACAAGAACTCTTGGACATTACCGGCGTGATTTTTTTTAAAATACGACCTTTTGCCAAAGGCTCCGCTCGCGTGTCACGTAGATAATATATGTCTATCTTAATCACCCACATCAGGATAAGATTGTGAGAATCCGTCCTCAGGTCAAGCCATTAACAAACTCAAAACAAATCAAACTATACTATCTTTATTCAAATTATTCTATGTGGATATCAAATAGAACAACAATTTTAATTACTTACTTGGGTATTTTGTATAGTACAACAGTTACAACAGCTAAGCATCGGATGGCTTCAATTTTTTTTAGAAAGTCAGTAAGTTTTCAACTATAAACATATTATCTAGATTTAAATACTTGGCAATTCTAATATATTATGATAATTTTCTATCATTTTTATACGAAGCAAATCAGTTTCTGGCAACATTTGTATGCCCCTGGAATAATTTACTTTGATCTCCATACCTTGCCATCAATATCTTGGTTAAATTTTATTATATGCCCCTAAACTTGATTGTATTAAAAAATAAGCTCTATATTTTAAAAGGAGATAGCAGACTCCAAGTGAAAATGAAATACTTATTAAACAAAATGATCCAACGTGCACCGTATAAAATTTAGAAAAAAAAATTAAATTAAATTGAGCGAATGTTATTTATTTATGTTAAAATATATAGAAATAATAATTAATTATTAAAAGTGTTACAGTTTCTTCAACAACACATGCAAGTCATCAGGCCGAGGTGAAAGCCTGAACGGGTATTTTCATTCACATTATCCAGTCAAATATTTTTGATACCAAATACCAATACATAATAAATAGATTTATAATATTATTATGTTATGTTAATTATAATTGAAGCCAACACCTAAATGAATTTTTGATATTTGTTCGCCTAGTAATAGCTTGCAGCGACTATTCAAACAAAAGTTCCACTGTCAACCTCCTGACTCTATGGAAAGATAGGTACATGGTATTTGTAGTTCTAAATGATTGTACTGTTAGCAGAATGAAGGAGTAGGTTTTACGTTAAAAAAGGTTAAATATGAACATTTCGAAATGTACTTTAAAAGGATATAATGTAATTAAAAAAAATGTTACTTTACGTTTTTTCATGTGTAATATATACGCGTTAAACATAGAACCTCCTACTTTGTAAGTTGGTCAAAAAGTAACCGATTGCTGTCACAATAAATAAACCGTTACTACTTGGAAAAGATACTCAATTCTATCCTAAATAACTGTCTACACATAGTGGATACAATATAGTGTGCTTTGAATTAAGCGAATACAAACTGAATGCGAAAGGCCAACACATTGTACATAACAATGATCATACGTAAGCTCTGAATAATATCTTTAAATTTAATACAGTTCGTAGCCTATATACAAATTTAATAATAATTCCTACTAGATATTATGAGTGGCTATTTTGATCTTTAATCAGTGTCTGCTTCAAAAAATAACACATAAATAACACAAAATAACAACAGATTTTGTTTTACTCGTGAAGGGCAGGCAAAATAAAGATATAAATAAAGAATATTCTGTATGTTATTATTTACATTTCATTTTATGTATACAATACTAGCAGATCCCGCGGCTTCGCTCGCGCTGAAACTACAAAAAAAATCTCCTAAAAGGTAGGTTTCATACTAAATTTCATCCCCTATTTTACCCCCTTAAGGGATGAATTTCGAAAAATGCTACAACATGTATTTATTTAATTGTATTGAAGAGCATTAACGTCAAGTTTCAAGTAAGCCTGATTTTTGTTTTTGGGTAGTATTATAACGTGTTTTCTTGTGGTATGCCGTGGTAAAAAGTATCCTATGTCAATCTCCAGTCTTCCAACTACCTCCACACAAAAAATCACGCCAATCCGTCACTCCGTTTCAACGTGAAAGAAGGACAAACAGACACCCTTTACATTTATAATATTAGTATGGATATAGATTAGTTTTATTTTCAAAATGCATATGTCGCATTAGTTGAGCAAGCACTTGTATTGATTTTACGTCACAAACGTCTTATTTGGAGGCCTTTCTTCTGACGCACAAGTACACACTTTCTGTAGATGAATAGCTTGACGAGCTATGGGCTCCTTGTATTGGCAAGCATTCAAGACTTCTTATGCATTGTTCTTTGTCGTTTGCGATTTTGAAAGAAGTGTTACGTGTGTTCATTTTATATGTAACTAGTGACTCACCCTCGCTTTGCTCGGGTTCGTCCTTAGGTTGATTCCCCATACAAAATTTCATCCCAATTTCACCCTCGAAAGGGATGATTTCCGGGATAAAAAGTATCCTATGTCCTTCCCAGGGTCCCAAACTACCTTCTTACCAAATTTCATTTAAATCGGTTCAGTAGATCCAGAGATTACCCCCTACAACGTCACAAAATCACAATTCACAAACTTTATCTCTTTATTATATTAGTATAGACTAGCGACCCGCCCGCTCTCTTTTCACTTCAACTTCTATGTTATTGTAATATTTTGATGAGATGATATTATGTATATTCAAATAAGAGTGGCCTATATATAAGACCCTCAGGATAAAATAGCTTAATGTACAGCCGTACTAGTAAAAAGGTTTTGGAATCGGATCATTAGAATAAAATTTGTGTTTATTTCTTCCATCCAAACTTAAAAAGCTATATTAAAATTTATAATACATAATTTAGATAAATAAACACTAGTAAACAAAAAATATCGTAATATAATATGGAACACAGTCGTCCTTACGATTTCACTAAAATGACTTTTAAAGGAGTTGAATAAACATTCTTAGACGAACGTGCTGTGAATGATAATCTTGAGGCATATTACGGTCAGTGGGCATCGACCTGGATAGTGTGCGTTCCAGACTCCACGACGCCGTACGCATTTGATGAAGCGTCAAGCGATACATGGACCTTGTATCTAATGGAAGATGGCTCCTAATTCCTATATATGTGCATTATAATTTATAAGCAAAACGTATACGTAATATACATAAGTCCCACACACAAGAATGGAAATACTTTTACCTACTTGAAAGTGCATGCAGAAATAGTTAGCCTTCTTTTGCTAATTAGGGTCATATTAATACCCTGCTATATATGTACATACCTAATTACCTATACAAGATTTTATCAATATGTTCGCTTACAAGAAGATAATAATAAGGCATAGTATTATTTCTATAGTCACACCTTCGTGACTTCCTCTGTATTGATATTATAGCTTACGTTTTTGGTAACAAAACAAAATTAGACTCAACAATACTAAAAAATTGTTAATACTACTAACTCTTAAGTTGTATTTAAATCTCTTAATCACATGCTTTCCAAAAATATTTATTAAAAAAAAATCTGTCTGTGTAGTTTATATTTCGAGACACTTTAAAAAAGGAACTGATTTTATTAGTTATTTTTTAGTTTTTAGATTGTAAACTAGCAGTAAAAGCAAACCTATCCCACGGGAACCGTACATTTTTCTGGGATAGAAAGTAGCCTATATGCTATTCCAGGCTCTAATCTATCTCTGTGCCAAATTGCACATTCCGTCCAGATCCGTTCAGCCGTTCTGGCGTGAAAGAGTAACAAACATACATACATCCAAACTCACAAACTTTCGCATTTATAATATTACTTAGTATAGATATAGATATACAACATCATTTTATCATCTTTAACTTTATCTGTTTCAAATTAATTTTAAATGATGATTCAGTATTATAATCGTAAAACCTACATGAGAACTTAGAATTCTGGTTGTGACTCACTCAGTGAGGAGCGAGCTTTAAAAATATGCAGGTATGACAGGAAAGCTTATATAAATTCATAACTATGGAGACTTGTCTGCCTTTAGGTACTCTTCATAGATTTTGATTTTTGGTTATCGACGTTTAAAAAAATCCGAAAAGATGGTTTTATTTAAAATATCAAATATTCACTTAAATCTAAGAAAGTGTTACTCTTCATAATTTAAGAAATAGTGTAGAAATCTGTATTATATTTAGATTTTAGGAATGTACCTATTCTTAAATTATGCAACAATAAGCAAAGTCGTCGCTAGGGAAATACAATATAATTCTAAATTCTTAAACAGTGTGTGTCCCATCCCCCTTTACGAAAACTATTTTGAAGAAGAAACGTTAAGCAGTTTTTGATATATGTGGTATTTTCCATTCCACGCGTTTGGCCGCGAAGTTAACTTTGTTCCTCATAGTAATACTATGGAGTACAAAATTATCTATGCCGCCAATAAAATGAGTATCGTAGTTGGGTAAATATTTAATTTACTTAAGAAAATAATATAAAAATCAAAACAAGATAAAAATTTAATGGTCCAGCTACGAAACCCTCGATGTGTGAATCGACTGCATTTATCCGATTTCTTTTATTAGTAGCTACACGGATACAATAGCAGTTCGTGATTGTCTCATATAAAAAGTAATAATTTTTAATCCATCTGATTTTCGTACGATTAGTAACGACCTTTGAAAATATCTATGCTTAGCAGGTACGTATACTCGTATACCTACACATTAAAGATAGTTCTACCTGTAGATATATAGGTAGTTATATGGGACTCATCTGCTAGTAAACCATAGTACACACTAAAACCTAACAGAATCTCTCACGTCTCAATGGGGCGTTGAAAGAAACGCACTCAACCACGACGCCCCGACGGCAGGTCTACCGAAGCAGACCACACAACCAAGGGTTAGCTCCCATGGTCCACTCTGCTGTCATAGAAGTACCAGAAGCAACCCGCATGGTCATCCGCCCATCGAAGTGGGCTACCTTACAGTGTGTGCCTTGGCTTTACGCCCGGCTGGACGCTAATGATCCCCCACCCTCCTCCCTCCCCCACGGCAAGGAACCCACATTGGGGGTTCTTATTAGCAATCCCAGGGATGAGCCCGACTACATATTTTATATTAAATTAGATGCCCATGGGATAGAGATAATACATAACTATTGTTTATTTACTATCTCTATCCTATTTTCGTAATGAAATAATACGACTGTGAATATTTTAATACATAATATACCTAATCATGAGGTGACATACGCAAAGGTTTGTTCATTTAATTCACTACAGGTGACCGTTTTTATAATAAGTAGTCGCTTTGAAGCCATTAACAAGAGAATTGAATTATAATAAGTGGTAAATGACTACAAGACAATTTGGTTTTAAGCCGAAAGTCTAGAACCCCGGTTAGTATTATTATTAGATATAATTAAAAGATTCAACTTCAACATAATAAAAATGGTTAAAATATATTAACGTGAAT